TGGATAATTTTTTACCATTACTAGGCTTAGTAAAAATAGGGGCTGATGTTAGTATTAAAAACAGTTTGTGTATTCTGGTGTTGCAGCAACTGTGGGTATTATTCTGTAAGCTTTCCCAGTGCAGATAGTCTCTGATTGCTCCTATGCCGTGGCCTATTCTCTGCAGTGGCCCTGTTGCTTGCACCTGTCTATTGCTATTTTCCCTTGAATTCCAAGGAGATTTTCTATGCTTTATTTATTTTTCCCTTCATTCATTCTGCTTTTTCTTCTGTTTTGCTTTCTTCAATCTATGACTGCTACATTTCATCTACTGTCTGTGTTTGCTAGTGTTAGAATAGTGCTGTCTGTTTGCAGCTGAGTGTACTGTGGGAAGTGGTGCTGTCTAGTGAAGAGGTTTGGGAAAGAAAAAAAGTACAGGCGGTCTATGAGGGGGAGAGAACCGATCATGTGGCAGCTGCTTGTTGGCTTTGCAGGAGAATGAAGATAAACCTGCACATCCTGGTGTGACCTTTCCCCTGTGCAGGCTGGAAATCCCAATCCCTAATCTCCATGTGCTTTTGCTTTTAAATTAAATAGTCCTAGCCTCTTGAGTCTCTCCTTAACATTGGCCAACCTCAAATTGCTACCTCTGATCACTTTCACTCGCCTGCTCTGAGCTGTTTGTATTCCTCCCTTGAGAAGGGATGAAAACACTGGACTACACCAAGATCTGTTCAATGGTGTCTTGGGGTCACATTTATTATTGGCATAAATATAGTTTTCTAGGCACTACAGTGAACACGTCCTGTGTATAAACGTATATTTTTCTGACTGTGAACTGCTTGTAAGGGAACTTCTGGCAAGTTAAGGAGGTTTTATTTGGGTAGAAGAGAGATGGAAGATGTGGATAGTCCTCCTATATCTATTTTTAAAATAGAGAATTTCAAAGACTGAGGATGAAGTTTTTTAATATCCATAGTTAAATCTTTTTTTAGAATACAGTGACATAGTGTAAGTATTCTTTATGATTTAGAGTCTCCTGGTGAGGAAAAATGGTGTAATGTTTAAACGTTTAACTCTTTGTGCATCTCAGTGTGTTGTAGTTAATCTTTTTTTTCTTTTTCTTCTATTTTCTTCTTGTAATACATTCCTGCAAACAGAATGCAGGAAAAAAAATTCCATCTTCACTCACTTGAATTTGACTCAATAAGAATGCTTTGCGTACTGCTCAAGTTGTATGCAGACAGTCGTTATAGATATTGCTTGGGTTTTCATCAGATTTTAAACAGGTGTAAAATGGTGTCCTTAGCTAGGAGATTCCATCAATAGTTCTCTTAAATAACCAAAGTGTCAGGAGGGTAAAGTTTTAAGTTTTGTTCAAATGCCTTAGCGGTCTGTGAGCAAAGAGGTTTACCTTGGGTTTTAGTACTGTTGGTTGAGCTTTTGAAGTGCTTGAATGTTGGAAATGCTAAGTTATGTCATTCTGTTTTGCCTTCTGAGTGATTTGTTGTGTACATATAGGACAGGCTAAGACTCAAATCAGTGTGGGTTTTAGGTAGGTCAAGGAAGGTGAGGCTTACAGGTACCTTATTCCACTTCAGCCCTAATTCACCTTCTTGTTTTATTAGAAGGGGTAGTTGTAAATATCTCTAGGGATGTGTTATAAAGCTGCATTAAGCTAGCATTAGCGTCTTAACGTATTAGTATTTAGCGTCTTGTAGTATTAGTGTCTCAAAGGTGATGAAAGTACTGCCCTTAAAATATATGCAATATAAAGAGTAATATAAACACTGTATCTGTTTATTATGAAAATATCAGGCAAAATACAAAAGCATCTCCTAATTTTTAAAACTGAGAAAGCTCGTTGTGCTGCCAGAGTATTCTGAGAAAAGTAAAGTCACAGTGATTAAAGGCTTCACTGATAGTCTATTTCCATGTCCAAATTTCCACAGACTTGCCTTTGGCCTTTTTATTTCTAGCCACCTTAAAATATCTTTCTTGGGGACATAAATTTCATACAACACTTTGCATGTTTTTTTCAAGTGAGACCTTCAACTATTGTTCCTCGTCACTCTCCTGCAGTTCACTTCAATGTCCATTAAACAGTATGGCCAGTGTTTTCCCCTTTACCAAAACTGAGTGCACTGAGTATATTTGTCTTGCATGCAGGGAATATTCTGTGTTGGGACACGGTGGAATCCCATGCTTGTGGCTCTCGGGAGTGAGGTGTGCCCGGTGCAAACTTGGTATTGCCTGCACTTTCATCTGTTAGGTGACTGACTACTTAGCCTTAATTTCTGGAGGGTTTAGCATATACTTTCCATTTGTAAAGCCTGGTTTCCTCAGGACCATGGACCAAGTGTTAGTGATGTGGTTCCACTGGCTGCAGTGCAGTTACACAGGAGGAGCTCCAGCGTGGCCTGGAGCCACGTGTAAAAGGCCATACAGCAAAGCCTTTCAAGGCTTCAGTGCATGTGGTACAATGACATATGTAATGAATTATTAGACTGATTCAAAATACTGAAAAAGGTGCTCTGCATGTAACATTCCTTTAGAAATTGAGGATTTCTGACTTTCTGGGAGTGAGAAATGGCACTATCTGGGCTCACAAGGGTCCTCGGAACTTGTCAGTGATTCAGTGGCAGTTTCTCTTTGTACTAGTTACCTTTCTGTCTTTACAAGGAAAAAGAGGAAGCAGCTTACATGCCAACTATTTTACCCTGTGTCTGCTTGGAGCTGCTTTCTGGGGAACATTAGGTTGTTTTCCTGCAGTGGGCGATTAGTGGGCATGGTGTGGATACCACAGCCAGAGATCCGTGGCCTAGAGCCGTGGGAGGGAAGGAAAGCACAAGTATTGTTGGTGAGTTCTGACAGCATACATATGCACAGAAGGGAAATGGGAGACTGTCACCTTTGATGCAGGTGAAACTTCACAATGGTAGTTAATAGACATTTTCAGATCCTGCAAATAACCTATGCGGTGTTTAAAGACCAAAATACGCAGTCGTTTCTTCAAAATGGCAGGTCTTAAAGTGACTCAGGGCTTTTTGGTGAATGGAGTCACGGAGCCATGTGCAGGAAGACATAGATAAATAGTCTGGTCATGCTGGTGGGTTGTCGATTCCACAGAAGGGTCAGTTGTGAGTTGCTCTACCTGTCAGGGGCTATTACTTCATTAGATGGGTTGTCATAACACTAATGTATGCTGAATGGACAACAGCCTCATCTAAAAACTAATGCTTGCTCTGTATTCTCCAAAGCGCTGTTCTTCTCCTTTACGTTAAATTACTATTCCTCAGCAGTGGTTCAGTCTGCACTCGATACAGGACTCGGTCCGTTGCCTCTGCCTCTACTCCCTCGAGTGGGAGTCTAAGGATAAAGTTGATTCTGTTTCCAAGACGTTGTAACTAATCGCTGCATAGTTTCTTTTGAAATGGTGCTTCTGAAGGAATCCTTTTTTCTCAAGAAGAACAATTTTCTGTTTGGGATGAAATCTGTAAGACAGGAAGGTTAAAACTCTTTGTGTACTGTTGGATGGTAAGAAACTAACTAAACAATAGTAAACTCAAGTTATCTTCAATACGGAGTGACTTTATTGGGTCATCAGAACTAGCCCATCTACCCACAACCAAAATTTTGTCTCTGACTTTTGCTTATTGTCAGCTGATACCAGTTGATTCCAGACTTCCATTTCTCAATTACTGTATATTCCTATGCAGCTCCACTCTAAAGGCTTATTCGTTACTGCAGTGATGGTATTACCTAGCTTAGTATTGTTGACATAGGGAATGTTATAAGATTATGGGGAACGTTTTAAGATGATAATGAAAAAGAATATAATCACATCATAAATTATATCGAGAATAAGTGGTACACTCCAAAAATTTTTCCTGGACTTCACCAGTGGTTTGTTTGTCCCATAAAGAGATGGATTTGCACAAGAGTTTGCTGGGATTCAAATTGCACAGGGACTTAGGCAGTGGTATAAGCCCTGCCTTTATATAGTCTGCAACAGTAGAGAGACAAGAGATCAAGTCTGAGTCAAAGCAGGTGATACTTCTCCGTTTTAAGTAATATTTTCTCAAACTATTTTTAAGTTGGACAAAATTCTTTTGTGATTAATACAAAGTTATTACTGTCTTTGAGTCAGCATTATTCTGTATGTTCCTAAACAGGGGAGCAGTTATGGTATCCCACAGGATTCAATTTTTTGTGGCATGTTTATGAGAAATTTCATCCTCGTTTGTGTTATGAAAATAGAGCATTTGTATAATCAGTTTAAATCATTGCTGCAGTCAAAAGCAGTTCCACTTCTCCTTCCGACATCCTGCAGTGATTTGCACTACAGCAAAAAACTATGGTTAGCTATATTTTGGATTCTGTGCAAACACAAGAAGAGTGAGGGTGAAAAGGGTCTGAGGACGGAAAGAAGGATGCAAGGAAGAACAGACCTGTCACTTCTGGCAGAAGTGTTGTCTTATTCCCACTGGAAGAAATGTGGCATAAATTAATACCTTAATACAGCAGTGACAGCTCCTGTAAATGTGGTGGCTTGCCCATGTTTGTACCTGAGGGGGGGAGTGTTAGCTTTACCATACAGGTTGATGATTCCTTTTGGTTGAATCAATTTTGCCATATATCACCAGAAAATCAGAGTAGGTGGATGAGATTTGAAAAAGTCAAGTAGCATTTTTAGTTTATAAAAAGTATTGGACACATATTTTGAACGGGGCTTGTTGAACCTCTCTAGGCAGCTGTGCTCCATTAGGCAGAATGCAAAATAAAGGGAAAATTTACCCAATCTCTGTGAAAGCCAGATATAAACTCCAGGACTCTCTGTCTTCAGGTTCATTAGCTTAACAACCATACTGCCCTTTTGCCCTGATTCAGGCTATACAAGCTATGTCTTGTTTATTCACATTTGTCTTTGTTCCTTTTAAGAATAGCTTAACTGATTTTTGTTATGAAGTAAGTCTGAAAAAATGTATAATAGTTATTTTCTTTATTGTCCTAGCATTGATATGTTAATGTCTTCTGACAAAGAAAAGGACCCAGATGTTATTCCTGAAGATAGCAGTCTGCTAACTCTTAGGTATGTCCTTACGGCGTACTCACAGTGCCCTGCTATGGGGTGGGGTGGAAAACAAGCCCAAAAGCATGGCTGGCTGCTTGTTCCCTTTCCAGGCAATGGTGCAGTTTCTGAAGCAGTGGCCAGAAATACTCTAAGGGCAGAAACACCAGCCTATGGTGGGATAATTGGTATGAGCCTTCTCCTTGAATGTTGCTTAGGATTTTTTTATTAAGATATACAGAATATGTCATCTTTCTTATTGGAAAAACTTAGGATTTCTGGATCTAGGTACTTCTGAACTAAATTTGGAGCATGCAGGGGACTTCTCTTAACCATGTGTGGGAGGTTTCTCCAAAGCCTTGTGAAATAAATCTGTAGCTCTTACCTCTAGTAACCCACAGTCACATTGTAACAGGCAAAGTGTAAGTACTAAAGTTGTAGCCAGGTACCTCTTCATCTGAACCCACTCTTTATAGAATTCATTGATTCTACTGGTGCATTTCAGAGCTTGAGCAATATATGTTAAGTTTCTATCGGTTAGTGAACTTTGAACTCATACTTGGCCAGTTCAGACCTTTACTGTACTTGAATTTCAGTTTGCGTAGTACTAATGTAAAGAAATGTGTTAAGGTTGTGATCAGTGTTAAGTTTGATTGTTCCTTCAGGAAGGTCTGGAGGGTAAATAGACTTGTCCTGGAATTTAAAAAGGATTTGGTGTTTGTGCAGTGGTTAAATACATGTGTTTTAGTAGATATTCTATGTATGATACTCTTTCTTCTACAAATGATACTGAAGTTTTTTTAGAAAAGTATCTATGTCACGGGGTTCAGAGTTTGTGGGTTTTTTCTTGGTTTTTGCTTGAACATGAATTGAATTTCTCTGAAGTGGGAGGGATAGTTGAAACAGCTTCCTCAAAGTTAACAAAGTGTTCTTTCTTGGAGAGCATCTTCAGGCAACATTTTGTTGTTTTTTTCTCAAACAACCTGTAATTTGCACATAAGGGGAAAGAAAAATACAAGCTGAAATCCACAAGCTGGCCTGTGTACGACCAGGTTTTATGGAAGTCAGGAGACAAGAGTATTATAAGTTAGTCTGTCATACTAAGACAGCCGCAAATGCTGCTTTTTGAAAGCTGCACTGTAGTAGCATGTGTCGTTTAAAAATGTACCTAGACATTCTGCATGGAAGTTGTTGAATGAAATTTTGTCCTGTGTTCCTGACCCTCAGAATTAGAAAGAAGGCGTTAGAGAGGAGAGAAGAAACAATTATTGTGGATCGAGCTTGCAGACAAGAAACTCTTGCTTATGAGATGGTAAGTTCCCTGTCATCTTGTAGGGTCTTAAGAGAGTCCACACAGCCAAAATCCAACTTCTGGTTGTTTTTTTTTTCACCGCTATGAATCTCTGTACACTGTACATGTTTGCAAATATGAGTTTGCAAGTAATGGTTAATAGTAAAGACATTTTATAGAAAGATAGGACAGGAACTCTGCTCTTACAGTCTGTTAGTACCGAATGTAGTAAGGAGGAATTCCAGCTCATTACTACTGTATGACTGCTTTTATTTGGTTGCTACTAAAGCATTGTGTAGGGGATGAAGTCTACTGAGCATCATGTGAACTTATCACAGAGCTAGACAAAATGTGTAATGTTTTTGCTCCTGGAGTCCTGTGTTGGAATCTAAGCTTTAATGTGTAAATGATTCAGCTAGTTTCTGTGGGCCTGAAAGAGGAAGACAGTAGGAACATGATGGCAGTAAGTTCCTAATTCTGAGCTTTGTAACCCAAGTTTCTCAGCCGTTCTGAGCTGTCAGGAACCAGGAGTGTAGTGATCAGCCCCTCAAAAGCCATCTTGGAATTCCTTTAACTATTCTTAGTACCTCTTTTTTTAAGAGTTCTTCACAATCGTTATAGTCCTGAACAGGAAAACTTTAAGTTCTTAAATTTCACAGTGCTGGAGTCCACGGCTTGAATAAGCAAGCCATGAACTACTGTAAACATTAGGGATGGAGGTGTAGTGAGGAAGGAGCCTCACTTGTGGCTATTAAACATTTTTTCCCCTTGAGGTTTCCTGGTCTGTCATGAGTGATTTTGTTTCAGCTGTCCAGAGGCCCAGGCATATGATGTAAACATCATGTATCAGCTGAGATGCATCAACTGTGTTGGACTCTTAGCCTAGAGCATAGCTGAGAAAATACTTGCAATAGGAATCTTCATAAAGGGTTTCAATGAGTGGTGTATTATTTCTATTTCTGAAGAACGAGCACGTGGTCAGTTACTGCATCCTTTAAGCAAGCTGTGGTAACTGGTTTGTGTGTCAGAGCTGGTTTTGACCGCGGTGTCCTAGAACAGGATCAGAGCATAAAGAAACGTGAGTTTGGAGTGTGTTGCATGAAGAAGGGAGATACAAGGGATAGAGCACAAGTATGTCTGAACTGAAGTCTCGCAGAGTGCATGCTCCTGTTATTAAATCTGAAGAGCACGTTGTGCTGGTGGGAAGTGTTTATGCAGTCAGTATTCTCTCTTGATTTGTTGAAAAAGGAGGAAACTGACTGCCACAGCAAAGTGCCTTCCCTCATTCTCACAGCTAGGCTATGTCTTAAACACAAAGTAGGATGGAAATGTGGAAATGCTTTCACTTTTCTAAAATATAGCAGTGTGGCAAGGGCAGTGCTGGATTTTTGTTTTGGATTTTGGAGAAATTGAGACCTCCAGCTATATCAAGCTTCCCTAATAAGAGGCAGCATTGCACTAACTTTTATTTTCATATACTTCATCCTATGGCTAGCTTCTAGGTCACTCTCTCTCAAGTTGAGGGTTGCAATCCCCCTTTACATGTGAAAGCATTCAAAGAGCATTTCAAAGCATTAAGTGATGGAAGTTGGTAGCATCTGGGTTCCATGAGGGCAGAGTGGCAGCAGGCTTTAATTCTTTTATGCAGGGTCTCTCAGTAGCCAAGGAGTAGCCAGCTGTGTCGTAATTGCTGAAAGCACCTCAGTTCTCCAAAGCTGAGGAATGAAGGAAAATGCTTGAAATCAGTAATTACAGCAGTTTCTCACCTTTCCATCTTAGAGGAGGTAGGCTGTTACCAATTCAGAAGGCCACACAGTTAAAAACGAGTTAGAGTTAGAACAGCATTTCTCAGACTTTTATCCAGGGGCTGTGATATATAAGTGGTTGCCAATAGAATATATATATATATATGTATCTTTATTTTTGTAGGAGTCACATGCAATTGGAAAGAGGCCAGACAATCCAACAGATCTAGTTGAGGAGGGGGAACTACTTTTAACTCTGAACATCTTCTATCCTGTCATATTTCAGAAGGTTAGTACTAAATTCTCTAGGTTGTATTCTGATGTCTCTTCCTTACTCAGGTAATATCTTCCCAAGCAGCTAAAATCAGTGAGTCTGCTGAGGGAGTGTGGTAAACCTTTCAACTGTGGTAACTTCTTAACGCTTTTTCAGAATTTGGCTTTCATTCTCTTAGTGGTTTACAGAAAGAAATTTTTACAATAATTACTCAGCAGTTAATTGATTTCACAGGAAGCTCAAAATCTGAAACTAAATACATGAAAACTACAGTACTCTTTCTGGATTTGGGGTAAGCATGCTCAGACTTTCTACCTTTCCTGTACTTTCCGGTGGGGAATGTGACTTTTGAGTTTCTGAATAAAACTAATAAATGGCAGCCTTAGGAGAGGCTGAGGCAAGGTGCTGTTTAAAATCTGGTACAGAGAGAGGTGATGTACCATATGCTGCCATTAATGACCTCAAGCTGTCAACTGAAGAGCAGTACTGATGCTGACAAGTGATTTTTATTTGAAGCTTGTATGCTCCTCTTCTTCGTAGCATAAAGATCACAAACCCTATCAGACAGTCCTTGTACTGGGCAGCCAGAAGCTCACCGAGCTGAGAGACTCGATTTCCTGTGTCAGTGACCTTCAGATAGGTGGCGAGTTCAGCAGTCAGCCAGATCAAGCACCAGAGCACATCAGCAAGGTAAAACCTTCTATTTGGAACCCTCTACATGTGTAAGAGCTTTGAAAACATACAGGAGAGAGGGAGGCAGAGTTTTGCTTTGTTGTTTTTTCTTCAGCACTAAATTAGGCTGCATTGGTTCTTCCTGTGGGTTGCACTGCAAGTAAATACTTCCTGGTGGTGTTACGAAGCTGACCTGTTTTGAGCGATGTCAAGAAAAACATCATTAATGCTACTGCAGGGAAGTAGTCACACAGGCAACGAGTTCTTTCATAGATGTATCCCTGTGGACTGACTTTACTTTGAGCTATCTTCTAAAACACCAGAGGTAATAGAAAGCTAAAAGTAGACCATCCCTCTCTGAACTCATATGCTTTGGTGTTTGCAAGTGCGTGCTGATCAAAAGTAGGAATAAAGATTATTTCCCTCTCCCACAATTGCCAGGTGTTCTCTGGGGATGTGCAAAAGGGGTCAATGAAAAGTTGAAAACAGTTGAAAATACTGAAATTGCATCATTTTGATAATATGTTATATCACATATATATATCATATCACAGAATGGTTGAGGTTGGAAGGGACCTCTGGAGGTCATCTCGTCAAACCACTGCTCACGCAACGCCACCTACAGCCAGTTGTCCAGGACCATGTCCAGATGGCTTTTGGTTATCTCCAAGCCTCCCTGGGCAAACTGTGCTAGTGCTTGATCACCCTCACAAGGAAAAGCTTTTCCTGATGTTGAGAGGGAACCTCCTGTGTTTCAGTTTGTGCCTATTGTCTTTTGCTGTGTCACTGAACACCACTGAAGAGAGCCTGGCTCTGTCCTCTTTGCATCCTTGCTACAGCTATTTGTATATGTTAATAAGATCCCCTCTGAACCTTTTCTTCTCCAGGCTGAACAGTCCCAGCTCTCTCAGCCTCTCCTCATAAGGAGAGATGCTCCAGTCCCTTCATCTTCATGGCCCTTGTGGGACTCTCTCCAGTATGTCCATGTCTTTCTTGTACTAAGGAGCTCAGAACTGGACACAGGACTCCAGGTGTGGCCTCACTAGTGCTGAGTAGCGGAGAAGGATCACTTCCTTCAGCCTGCTGGCAATACTTTGTCTAATGCCGCGTAGGATCCCATTCGCCACCTTTGCTGCAAGGGCGCATTGCTGTCTCATGGTCAAGTTAATGTCCACCAGGACCCCCAGGCCCTTTTATGCCAAGCTGCTTTCCAGCTGAGGGGCGCCCAGCATATAGTGGTGCAGGGGGTTGTTCCTCTCCAGGTGCAGGACCTTGCACTTCCTCTTG